ATTGATGGGCAGAGGGGGATGGGGGGGGTGGCGCTGGGGGAGGTGCTGCGGGAGGTGCAGGGTGGCGTCTGCACCGCGGGGATGCCGCCGCCTTTCCTTGGGAGAGCAGCTGTGCAGGAGCCTGGACAGAAACACCTGTTTCCAGGCTTCAGGTCCACGTGTGTCAGACATGGTTGGGCAGCATCGAGTCGGTGCCCTGCCCTGAAACACTGGAGTCCGGGTCCTCGCCGGCACCCCTCCCACCCGGGCGGGCGGGCTGGTGAACCCAGGTGCACGGCCAGGTCCATTTCCCATCCACAACAAGCCCCCCACGCCTCTCCCCTTCCAGACCCGCCAGCCGGTCTTCGTGCAGCTGCTGCAGGGCGTGTTCCGCGTCTACCACTGCAACTGGCTGGCGCCCGGCCAGAAGGCCTCGGTGGAGGGCTGCATCCGCGTGCTCTCCGACGTGGGTAAGACGCGGTTCAGGCCCCACGTCTCACCGTGAGGGAAGCCCCCGCTGCCCTGTCTTTTCGGTGGCTCCGTGCAGAGCCCGGCGTGGAGCAAGGCCCCCGTTCCTAATCCGCCGTCACCGTCCAGGCCGCAGCTCCCAGAGCCAGAAGCCGGTCTCTCCCGGAGAAACACGGGCTTGGAGAACGAGCTTCCCTGTTAGGCGGTGCGGCTCTCGGCACATCCAGTGCCGTGCGCTTACCCAGGGCCTGGGCGGTCCCTCACAGGAAGTCACTGGTGTCCACGTAGCCCATGGAAACGTGATGCCCCCAGGAGCACCCTTTGGGGAGCAGGGTGCCCTGTCCCTTTAGCCTCCCGGGGGTGAGCGGGAAAACAATGCATCGGCCAAACGAGTGTCCTGTCTTGGTAATTCTCACAATATTGGGGCCGAAACCCATTGCACTTGGACTTGCCGAACTTTGTGCCCTCAGAGCATTTTTTAAAAACGTCTTCATTGTTGAAAGTATTACAGATGTCCCATTTCCCCATTGACCCTTCTAGCCCGCCCCGCCCCCTGCCTCGGCCTTGACCACACTGTGTGTCCAGGGTTATGCATCTATGCATGCAA